TTTGGTTTTTGCAAATTCTTCTCTTGCTGCAGCGACCAAAACAATGCATTTGGTTTTTGCAATGTCTTCTCTTGCAGCAGCGACCAAAACAATGCATTTGGTTTTTGCAATGTCTTCTCTTGGTGCAGCTACCAAAGCGGCGTGTTTGGTTTTTGCAAACTCTTCTCGGTGCAGCTACCCAAACAATGAATGCATTTGGTTTTTGCAAAGCTTTTTCACGTTGCCGCTAACTACCAAAGCAACGTGTTTGGAAAAAGTCTTCTCTTCTTGCACCTACCAAAGCACTGGGTTTGGTTTCTGCAAAGCAACATGTGAAAAACATGCATCCTTTTGCTTCAAATTAAAATGGAAGTGTATTGCCAGCACACTGTCTCAGCCTCAGGGGAAGGCAATGGCAAACCTCCTCTGAACAAATCTTGCCAAGAAAATCCCATGATAGGACTGCCCTTGGCACGCCTTCAGGTTTGCCACTGCCTTCTTCCCCCGAGGCTGAGAGTGTGTGACTCGGCCAAGGTCACCCAGTGGGTTTCATGGGCGAGCTTGGACTCGAATCCTGGTCTCCAGAGCCGTAGTCCAACACTCAAATCACTACACCATCCTGGCTCTGAAAGAGTTCTAAACTATAAATCCCTAAACTATAAATCTCAAGATTCAATAGGATGCAGCCATGGCACTGAAAGTGGAATCAAACTGCTATAATGGTGTAGTGTGAAAGCAGGCCTCAGGAATGATAATTGACTCTTTGCATAGGTTGCAGCAAGGGACACAAAACAGGTTTAACATAAAAAAAAAATACCTATCGTTGTTTTTTCAAATGCAGACTTCAAACCACTTTTGATTTGATTAGTTACATTTTTTTGGCAGTGCCACATTGCAGAAATAATGTGGTTTGACACCATTTTAACTTCCATGGCTCAAAGTTATCGAATCCTGAGCTTTATAGTTTGGTGAAGGACCAGAGCTCTCTGACAAGGAAGGCTAAATAGTTTCCAAAACTGCAGATCCCAGAATGCCATAGCCTCAAACCATGGCAGCTAAAGTGGTGTCAAACTGGTTTAATTTTGCAGTGTGGCAGCAGCCTCAAGAGGATCCAGGGCCAGATATCTGGCATCTGGACTCAAGGCAGCTGCCCTGCTTTCAATTAAAGATGGAGAATCTCTTTCAACCAGAGGGAAATTCATTTTCAAGTGAAGTTCAGTGTATGGTTGTGTCTACACTGCAGAAAATAATCCAGTTTGAGACCACTTTTAATGGTCATGGGTCCATACTATGGAATTCTGGGAACGGTACTTTTGTGGGACATTTAGCCTTCTCTTACCAGAGTGCTCTGATGCCACAACAAACTACAAGATTGTACTTCATCTGCCATGGCTCCATCCTAAAGAAATCTGGGGATCTGCAGTTTTATGAATTAATTTGGAATTCTCAGCCTCGGCAAACTACAGATCCCAGGGTTCTATTGGATGCAGTGGTGACAGTGGAAGTGAGATCAAGGTGCTATAAATTATGCAAGTGTAGTGGTTTCAGTTTCAGTGTTGGACTACAACTCTGGAGACCAGGGTTCGAATCTCCACGCAACCATAGAAACCCACTGGGTGACCTTGAGCAAGTCACACACTCTCAGCCTCAGGGGAAGGCAATGGCCAACCTCCAAGAACAAATCTGGTCACTGCCTTCCCCTGAGGCTGAGAGTATGTGACTTGCTCAAGGTCACCCAGACAGGGTCACCAGAAGTCAGAAAAATCACAGGCCATGTATTGGAGAAAAGGTGGCTATAAATAAGGTAATATATAAATTTATGTAATGCCTGTATTGTATATAAATAAGACAATATATAAATATATGTAATGCCTGTATTGGGAGAAAGGTGGATATAAATAAGGTAATATATAAACATATGTAATGCCTGTATTGTTTATAAATAATGTAATATTTAAATATATGTAACGCCTGTATTGGGAGAAGGGTGGATATAAATAAGGTAATATATAAACATATGTAATGTCTATATTGTTTATAAATAATGTAATATATAAATATATGTAATGCTTGTATTGTATAGAAATAATGTAATATATAGATATATGTAACACCTGTATTGGGAGAAAGGTGGATATAAATATGGTAATATAGAACTATATACAATACCTGTACTGTATAGAAATAATGTAATACACAAATATTTGTAACACCTGTATTGGAATAAAGGTGGGTATAAATAAGGTAATATATAAAAATATGTAATGCCTGTATTGTGTATAAAGAATATAATATATAAATATATGTAATGCCTGTATATAATATAATATAATATAATATAATATAATATAATATAATATAATATAATATATAAATATATGTAACGCCTGTATTGGAATAAAGGTGGGTATAAATAAGGTAATATATAAATATATGAAATGCCTGTATTGTATAGAAATAATATAATATATAAATATATGTAACGCCTGTATTGGAATAAAGGTGGGTCTAAATAAGGTAATATATAAATATATGTAATGCCTGTATTGGGAGAAAAGTGGATTATCAATAAGGTAATATATAAATACTGTATATGTAATGCCTCTATTGTATAGAAATAATGTAATATATAAATATATGCAAGCCTGTATCGGGAGAAAGGTGGATATAAATAAAATGAATAAAATCAAGAGGGACCAAAGTGCTATAAATCCCAGTCCAAGACCACATTCCCACCCATCATGGCAATAATAAAGGAAGATTTAGGATTGCCCCTTGCCTCCCAGGCAAAGATTTAAGATCCCACCTCATCATTTCCAAGGCTTTAAATGGATTTGAGAGGAAGATCAAGATATGTTTGTACTCTCTTTTGTCTCCCTAAGTATACCCCAGGCTGTGTTCATTGTCCCAAACTCAAAGAGATCATGTTCCACTCCAAAAGTTGAATAAATGATTTTGCAACACATTTTAGCAAATCCTTTGGTCCAGGTGTTAAGGCAATCACAGCTATATTGTTTTTGCTCTTGTGTGCCTTCTTCCAGTTGTTTCCTACTTAATAGCCATCCTAAGGCTACCCTGTCTGGCAAAATTTGTTCAAAGGGTGGTTTCTCTTTCCTTCCTCTGAGGCTGAGAGAGTGTGACCTGCCCAAGGTCACCCAGTGGGTTTCCACTGGCCAAGTAGAGAGGAGCATGGTAAAGTGGTTTAAGCATAGGACTACGACTACAGAGACCAGGCTTCAAATCTTGGTTCAGCCATGAAAACCTACTGGGTGTCACACTCTCTCAGCTTCAGAGTAGTCACACTCTCTCAGCCTCAGAGGAAGGCAATGGCAAACCCTCTCTGAACAAACTCTGTGATAGGCTTAGGGTTACCATAAGCCAGAAATGACTTGAAGGCACACAACAACAACCACAACCACAAATGGTCCTTCCTTGACTAGGCCCCTGCATCCTTAATAATAATAATAATAATAATAATAATAATAATAATA